CTTCAGTGATACTGTATATCTTACCCATCTGGATCATCCATTTTAAGAAGTTGCTTTTCTTCCTTCTCATGACTTCTCTGTTCACTATTTCCTGCAATGTCAGAAATGGACAATTAGACCCAGCGTTGTCCTGGACCATGCATGCTTTTAATTGACATAAGTGCTTAAGATTGACTTCAGGATACGTAGAAAGAAGTATACTGAAAAGTCCAAGACTTTTCCATTCAATAATTTGTCTCGCTTTGATCACTGAGAATCATTAAGTTTGAGTTGGGGACTCACTATGACAGGGCATTTTGAGTTAAATTGCTACTCGTTCCCCAGGTCATCAATATAAATATAGCTTCTCTCTAGACTGACTGTGTGCACTCTCCTTCCAAACGCTGGTGCCCAGGTAGAGAATCTCTCCCTCCGTGGCTCTTCCAGTACAACTTTCTTCTTTAAGAAGAGGACCAAAGCCCCACACAAGTGTCTGTGCCCTTCTGAGCACCCTGTGTACTGCCAAGGTAGCTTCTGTGGTTCTCTCTAGGCAGGTCTTCTATGTGGTAAGCAGTTCAGAGTACACCGGCATTCTTAACATCAAATTAGCCATTGTGAAATTCCTGATTCACCCACACTCAGGGATTTATTGTTTTGTAAAGTTCACTAGTTAATTTCCCTACAGTAATTGTCATATGTACCATGCATTCTTTTTTGTTTGTTTGCTTGTATCTTGTTTCTATCCCAGGGTACAGGGTCTCATTATACAAATCAGGCTCATAGTGATCCTTCTGCTTTTGTCTCCCAAGTGGTGGTATTATTGGCACAAGCCACCACATCCAGTTGCATCGGCCCTGTCAGCTCACCCTGGCCCCTTCGTCTGTCTAAGCAGGCACCTTAATCTGCTGAGCTATCTGTCTGGCCCTTCTGATACCTACCATGGATGACATCAGATAAAGACAAAGAATTTTGAAATAGATCAAATCACAATAACAAATATGCTACGGACAGCACCACCAACAGATCATTCAATCACTGTTTATTTGCCAATATGCATCTTGTCCTTTCTCACTACGTTCACCCCCAGGGAGTCTTTTTTCTCTCTTTTTATAAGCACAGTGCAAATATCATCACATCCCACAAAAAATGTAACTTGTGGAAGGTGGAGTGGTCTAGGATCCTGAACATAAAAGTAACTCATCTATATAAAGACTCCATGTTCAGTACATGATGCTGACATTCGGTATCAGGAGTTGGTACTATGCTCATCATGTCTACATTCCTCTCCTCGGATTCCAACACACTTCTTCCTCCCCTCCAAATCTGTTGATCCCCTCATCTCATTTATGTACACACCTGCAGTGCATGATGCTTACATTTCTATGTGTAGCTTTTACTTATACATGAACACCTGAATTCCTATTTTCATCCTGTCACTTGCCTGTCAGTCCCTACTCTCTTTCAATGGAAACAGGATTATGAGGTTCAAAACGAGAAAAACTGACCTCACTTTTTCACTCCGTTCTTCCTTGAGACATATCTATCTTCCTACAGAGCTTCAGTTCATAAAGGTGTGACCCCCTCACCTGTACTGAGTTTCAGGAAAAGATCTTCAGCCATCTTGCTCCCCTGAGCCAGATGTTGTGTGGGGCTCTGAGCCTGGTAGTTCTCAGCATCATCTTGGGTGAGTAGAAACTCCAGATTTTGCCCAAGGGATAAAGAGGCATCTCTGCTTTCACATAGCAGCTTTCATAAAAGAGTCACCTTCCTAGCATGGTTGTGAATTATGTCAAAGAATTTCCTGAGGGGGAGAAAGGAAACAAGGACAGTGCAAGTGGTGTGACGTGAATCATAAGGACTCTGACAGAGATTTATCTGAACACATGCCAGAGAAACCCTTTAAATTGAAGGTTGCCAGATACACAGTCAACTGTGCATAATTTTTTTGAAAAAGTTACAAGGAAAAGAGATGAATTTCTGAAACATTTTATACCTGGTACTTACATTATTATTGTTTAATTTTTACATTTATTTAGTGTGTGTGCATTTGTGTGTGTGGCCAGCTCTGCCCACCAGGGGACAGGGCTGGCTGGCATGTGGAGCTGGGGGATTGAACCACGGTCCCTGTGCTTTGCCAAGCTTGTTCCAAGTAGGTGCTTTAGACCACTGAGCCATCTTTCCAGCCTTTACACATTTTTTTAATCTTCCTATAATTCTAGCTAAGAAAAACTAAAGTATCCAAAAACCATTCTGTAAACTTAGCAAAAGTATAAAGGAGCATTTTATTGTGAAAAACAAATAAAATTTTTTGAAAATAACAAAATTTTCAGAATTCTTCAAAGCATGCAATACTATTCAATCCTATGTCCAATCTTGCATACTATGTCTACCAATCTGAGCAACAGAATTGATGAATATATATCAGTCATTGAAAATCAGCTATTCTTTCATTGCCAGTCTGCAGCATATGTATTGCTATATTCTACCCTGTTTCTGTCTTTGTTTTTCATTCTTCAAAATAAAATAAAATTATAAAAAATAAAAACTTACTTCAAATACTAAACACCCAGTTCTCTTTGATATCACAAAGTAAACAAATATACACATGACAATTTTGAATGCCATGAGCATGTACAGTTCATCTAAATTATGTTTGTCATTTAAGAAACTAGTTAGAAGTAACATAGAATATAAGAAAATTAAACAATTAGGTCAAATTAACAAACTGACAACTTCCTTGCCTTTTGAACAGGATCAAGAGTAACACTCTCCTTTAAGTGCCTTGATTGGGTGACACGTATGTACTATGTTCAGAAGATTCTATTTTCTGGGTATCTGCCTGTGATATTTTCATAGGAGCTTAGTTACAGAGTCCACCTGCCTTGAGACAGGGACACAGGTGAATCCAGTCAGTGCATTGACTAGAAAATGAAATGCTAGAGAAGGAATCCTGAGGCTCCAGGCATCACCCAACCATGACTAGATGGCACACCTAAAGCCAAATATATTGCTCAGAATTTTCCTTAAAATGTGTTGAATATTTATTGTGTAAAATATTTAGTGCTCCTAGGATATTGTGGAATCCAAGATATCTAGTAAATTCTAGAGAATTTCTATACATATTGTGACATGATGGGAGTCATTTGCTTGTGTTTATGGTGTGAAAACTCTACCAACAAACTCAGGTGTCCCATACAGAACTAGACA